GGGGGGGGCAGGTTGTCTCTCTGGTGCGGTGACTTGTTAGTTAACATCCTGCTCTTCCTGGATGAGATGAGTTATAACGGGACCAGCATCTCCTCTGTTCATTTGCACTGGAGTCATCCTAACAATGCACCGAGGCAGAGGTGAATTTATTGATCCCACGATAGCAAACGCTGCCTAAGTGTGTGTGTGTACATATATACATACATATCTATACGCACATATATGCATATAGACATGTATATACATGCACACACCTATATGGGGGGGGTGTGTGTGTGTACAATGTCTTAGACGTGCATGTAATACAGAGGGGGTGGCACATCTGCTACTGCTTCAGATGCTTACACTCCTGTCCAAGGGAAGTGACTTGGACCTGCTCCTGATTTAAAAAAAGAAAAGAAAACAAACAAACAAAACCCCAAACTCCCAAAGGGATAACTTGATAAATCAGTAGTTTAAAGATGAAAACGTTGAGGTAAAATCGAAGTTCAATGACTTGGAGAGAACAGAAGTAGGGGAGCCAAAACTGCCCTTGTGCATCATTCACTTTTTCAGAGCCAGCTTAGTGGAGATCCTCAGTTCTGTGCTGCTGGGAGGGAGCACAGACAATTGCTCAGTTGCTCAAGGGACTGAAAAACATTTGTGTCATTCATTGTGTGTGTGTGTGTGTATATATATTTTTTTTTTCCAGTTCTTGTCCTGTGTTTTTTACTTCAGAGGTTGGGGGTAAGACTGGCGAGGTCTGTTTCCTCACCTTTTAAGTGTATTTAAAATAATATGTGACCTAAGCTTTTGATCAGTTGAGTAAAATTCTTCTTAATGTCCTTTAATTAATGAGCTTAAAAGAGATCATTGTCACCTAAGAAGTGCTAAAGAAACACATCAGGATTACTTAGGCAAGTGATTCCATCCTCACCATGTTGAGTTGTTTTCTTGGCAGCAGCTGAAATGCTTGGAATAAAACCCCACATTTTGGGTGGGTTATTTGGTAGGAGACTAGTTGTTTTGCTCACTTAAGAAGAATGCAAGCAATAGCTAATTGCTATTCTTGTGTGTTTGCTAATGGCGAACAAATAGCCCATCCGTATTTACTGTTAATTTCTTTTGAGCTTTGGCATTTTTTGCAGTATTTTAAGGGAATGTTGTCGTTTGTCACCATGCACTTTTCGTGCAGGTTTTTTAAGGGATCAGTTCATTTCAGTATACCGTAGTCGCTATTGGCAGAACTGTAGTGATTCCATGTTCAGAAATACTACTTGAATTGTGTCGTCTTTTTTATGTTAACACAAAATTAAGGAAAATGTCTGCATGTTTTAATTTCCACAGAGTGAATGTTTAAATCTTTTAAAATGGCAAATGCACACCCCATGCATTTCTCGTAGAATGACGCAACTGGTTCGAATTGTGTTAGTGCATGTACTAATGAACAGTTTCAAGAATCTACTTGTTTTTTTGTGGGTATGGGGAAGAGCAAAAGTTTTGTAAACCAAATTAATGTTGCATATCTCAATTTTTCAGAGGACGGCCAATATTTTCTAAAGGTCCTCATACCTAGTTATGCTGCTGGATCTATAATTGGGAAGGGAGGACAGACAATTGTTCAGTTGCAGAAAGAGACTGGGGCCACCATCAAGCTGTCTAAATCCAAAGATTTTTACCCAGGTAGGTGAAATAATAAGCAGATTATTTGTAAATCTTGAGGGGAATATAAGCATGATGTAAGGGTGTTTCGTGTATTAAAGAGTAAACGTGCCAGTGCAACCGGAGGAATTATTGAATAGAAGAGTACCCTTTTCTAATTATAGCAATGAACATATCAACACTCTAATCTTTATTTGTTTATGAGATTGATAGGGTGCTGTCTAATAAATTAGTGGTCGTGGAATATGGCTAAAATCATTTACAATATGACTGCAAGAAAATGTGAACATATTTTCTGGCTACATATGTTCTATTTATTACAAAGGATGCAGTTTTGAGGAACCAACTATGACAGCTGGCATTAAAAATGTCAGTTCTCAGACCTAGTAATGAAATGTGTAAAAATGAGAGGGTGCTTCTGAAAGGGCCGTTTACTTTAAATCTATTATATACCTTCTTTCTGCTTCATTGCATTGTTCACTGGCCCTGGAGTGAGGCAAAAAGGACAAGTGCTGCTCTTCAGATGGTTCTTTACACTGTTTATTGTGATTGTGAAAGGAAAGTGCTATGAAAGTATAATATTTAGGATGAATAAGGAAATAAGTTTGTTTTATGCCTACTGTGTTTACACATAAGCAGTAAATCATTGGATGTTTGCATGTAAAGATAAGTGTGTCTGTATTGGGTTTAGCCTTCTTGCATTTTAATCAAAATTTTATAAAGAGTAGGCGTTATATAATAATCTGCAGCATTTGTGCTTCTGCAAAATATTTTTATGGTCCTGCATTGAGAGTTTGACATTCTTTCAACAAATAAATATCTAATAATTAGACTGTTAGTTGAGAGAAATTAATCCAATTTTTTATTAAGTGCTGTAAATTTACCAGAGAACTAATATTTTTGTCTGTGTTCTGCTTTTCTCAACTTGAAGCTGTGGCTGGTAATTCTGTGCCGAGGTGACCTGATATTGTTTTTTTTCTGTAGAGAATGTAAAGCTGCTTTACATTTGGTGCTCTAATTCAGTAAGATGACTGAAATTCATAAAACAGCAGAGACAGCTGGTATGGTGTAAGCAGAACATGAGCCTTTGGAGTATTTCATTTTACTGCCCACTCTGTTTGAATATCAGGCAAAAGTAGATTATTTATTCTGTACAGAAAGTGTGTAATTATTTTGAAATTGTCATATGGAAATGGAAAATGCATCTGTTAAAATTGCATCTATAAGTAAGAAACAACATTTTAATGCAATAATGCAGTAGAAGTGACAAGCTTAGATTTCCTATGTAATGAGGTAGTCCGTTGTTCGTTGCCTTTCTGAAACTTTTCTTTCCTTTACTCTTTTGCCTTAACAGAATTTGATAATATGATTCTTATATGTTGAAAGGTATGTTAAGTGAAAAAAAAAATCAATGCAGAATTGTGAAAACTCTTAGAGGAAATCATAGCATTCAAAAGAGTCTGATTGCAGAATTAATAACATAATCTGGAAAAAGAGCCGCAATAGTAAATTAAATTCACTGTCAGTAGATGAAAATGAAATAGATTTTTTGCATTATACATGAGGTGGTATCAGATGTGCAAGGATGTTACAGAAAATTGGTGTTTATGAAGGATATTCCAAATACTAAATTACATGCCTTTTCATTTGACTATAGTTTATTTACACTGAGTTGGAAAGGATGCTCCAGAGATTAGATCTTTTGTTCAGTATTCTAACGTAGTTATTCTGTTTTCTGATTAAATCAGGATTACATATTTTTGGGCTGTACATTGTGCAGACGTAGCAGTATCAACCAGAGTATCCTTTGACAATTAAAAATTAGCAAGTTAGAATTGCGTAAATAATATTTGAAGTCTTGGGATATAAACAGATTCTATCAAAAAAAATAGTGGAGTAAGATGCAAGTTGTACAGTTTGATTTACACCTGTTATAATCTCCAGTTAGATGTTACACAATCTGTTTTATATCTGTAGGTACATAGTAGGTCACTTAGCAGAATAATGACTTAGAAATAATTTAAACTAGCCTGATACCTGTTAGACAAGGACAGATGTGGCAGATTCTGTTGTAGCTATCTCTTCTTAGGCTTTCTGTTTGCATTTGACCATGAATGAGCCTGTGGAATTTTCTGAGGTCCTGGCATTCTCAAAGTTGACATCTTTTGGGTTTCTTCCAGCACCTCTTACTCGTATTGTGTAAAGGATACAAACCTAAGTAATCTGACTAGTATACAGTATACAACTCTGATTAATTTTGTTGAGAGATAAAGAATTTCTTAGAATTCAGTTACCTAAAGTGTATTGTTTCTACTCGCGTTTTATTGTTACCTATAGTTACGTGACATATGATTTCTCAAGATTGATGTTAAATTTGAAATTCTTGTGAAGAGGTGAGAGAATCTGAATAGGGACAGTTCAATGTTTTAAACCTGTAGGTGGGTGGAAGGGAGGAAGCTTGGTGTATTAGTGTCATGAGTACGTCACTATGCTGTTTTATGGTTTCCTATGGTACAAATATTGAATATACAGATTAGGCCTTTTTGAATTTTTTTATTTCTGTGTTTAATATTAAGAGTTAAGAGGAAGAAATTGAAAGAAAGTATGTATTTTTGAAGTATTGCTTTTTTGTTAAAGTTTCTAGCCTAACAAGTAAAAGGCAATGCACAAGCATTTTATTAAAAATTATGCATTGTAACATTACAAGCTCTTATTCACGCTTCAATTTTTCTTATCTCTTCCAAATACTTTCTTTTTAGATGATCAACTAGTCTTTTAAAATGTTATTGATCCCTGCAATTTAACTTCCTAAAATCGTCTTGAGAGAGAGAGAGAATAAATTAGTCACTGCTAGTGAATTTCTTTGCTCGCTTGCGCGTGCTCTCTCTTTTTTTTTTTTTTTTATTTTTTTGCTTGAAATCACATTACATCACAATTTCCCTTGCAACAGGATCTTCCCTAGCTCAAGAAACTTTGTGCTTGAGTGAATTTGAGCTGTCATTTTTCAAGGATGTTATAATATGAAGTAATACGTTAACTTGAAATGTGATAGTTTAGTAGTAAGAATATAGATACATATGATTGATTTAGGGATGAAATTGTATTTTACAACCAAATATTTATTAAAATAAAGGAGTTAAAATTATGATGAGGTAGTGCACAACGTTGGCTAGGTATTTAAGGTGGGAGGATTTTTCTTCATGTATTTACCCAAACACTTTATTCCTTTTAGTATGTGGTTATGCTGTTTTTTGTTTGGGGGGGGGGGGGTTGTGTTTTTTTTGTTTGTTTTTTTTAACTAAGTGACATATGTCTATTGCATTTATCTTGCATGTGAAATTAAGACTAAAAATTCAAGTTTTGGAAGACCTCTTCATGGTTACTTTTTGGGTAAAGGTATTCTGGAAACACCTTTGAAAGACATGGAAAGTGAATTGGGTGAAGAGCACACAACTTTACTGAGCTTTTTGGAAATAATCTAGACTTCTAACTTCTTTACTTATATTAAACTGAGTTAGGAAGGGTGCAGGTGTGATATCAAATTTGGGTCACCATTGTTTTTTTCCTTCATAAAATAAAGGAGGTATCACATTTTATTTTTTCTAAGTCTTAGAAATTGCTGGGAGTATTTTTGATATCAAATCCTCACTTTTTAAAAATGAAACATCTGCTCCTAGTTTTTGTTGTTTTTATTAGTATTAATGTTTTTATTTCATTTACAACTTTACTGGGACAATATTGGGTTAGAAAAAATAGTTCAGTTTGTTGTCAGTGTTTTTGAAAGCTGGCTTCTAATAGTATAGGAATGGATGTAAATCAAAGGAATCTAAGTGTTATTTCAGAGCATTTTGAGATTGCTAAACTAAGGACATCATAAGAATAAATAAACCTAAGGTTTTACAAAGTCTGTGGCAGACACTTACTCATGAGAGTGATCCCAGTGCTAACAACAGAATTGCATAAGTAAGGACGACTTGTGTGAGTAAGGATTTCTGGGATAGAGCCTTTAGACCTGTGTGTAAATTTGTAGACTAGCCATAGCTTCTGAGCTTTCTTCTAGTAAAAAGCCAAGCGTTGATTGCCAGCTGTTCGGAGAGATAATTCTCAATAGGACAGCTGTCAGTTGCTTGGTTACTAGAACCGAATTTAAAAAAATAGCTTCCCAACTGAAAGGTCCTTAATACTTTACATTCAAAGGAAACTGCTATTAATTTATACACTCAGTATGTTCTGGGGATGGTTGTACATCTAAGTTTTCTTGCATATGTAGTTCTCACAAACTCATTTGGAAGAACATAGCAGTAGTTTTAATGATTTCATATTCAGTAGATGTGCATCTAATTTTTTCTAAGAAAAATATTCTTTTTATTTTTAATGAAAGCTGAAAAAGTTAGCACGCTTGTTGAAAAAGTGAATGGACTCGCAAAACAGTAACCTTCTTTTTCATATAATTGTTTTTACTTTTATTTTTTAAATTGTTCTTGTGTTGATTTGAAATAGCTAGTTGAATGACAGTTTTTATCCTTGACGCATGCAAACCTGTTACACAAACTAAAGAGATCAGAATAATGATTGAGCGTATAACATCACAAGGAAGTGATAAGCAAACCCTACCTTCAGTTTCAATATTTACTATATGACACAACTTCCTTGTGTAATTAGAAAATAAATAACTTCTTTAGTTCTGAATGCTTATGAGTAAAGGTTATCTAATGCTACATCTGTTTTGCTTGATGGAGTCAAGCTTTCTACAAAATGAATAGGTGGAGAAGAAATCAGTTCTGTGCCCTCATCACTGGGCATTGTATGTTTGTGGGGAAAAAAAATACTACAAAATTTGTATCAAGTTAACAATTGGAAACATTTTTCCATGTAGTAGTTCAATGGTGCTTTTCAGAGAAAAGGTTAATACACTTATCCAGTGCTTTTACATAGTGGCCATCTTGGAGATAAAATATTAAGGCACCTGGATTTCAGTCTAGAAAGTCTGAATCTTTTAAATGTGTTTTCTTTTTTTTCCA